GCTAGGTCTTCTCGTGTTCATCACGAATAATGTTACAGTAGTTGAAACTCGTTATATATTACAGCAGAAACATCATAAGCCGTTCGTACACCCGAGTATGTCAATTAACTTATGACTCCGGTGGAATAAGCCGGGAAACCTGGTCTTATATGAGCCATTTGTTATTTAACATGCTATAGCGTACGAGCAGCTTACAATACTTGTTAAAAACAAACTATTATTATATTATTTATCGTTCTGTAGTTGCTTGCTATTATTTACTTCTGAAACAAGGGACCTGCCGCTGCAAAACACAGCATATTAAAGAACCATGTCATGCAAACAGCATCATCCGGAAAGAAACTCCAGCTGGCGGGAAAAGTCTTGTAAGAAGTGATGGCAAAACGAACACAAAGCAAGATTAATAGGCAGAAAGACGCACCCAAGATCAGTACGCATCAATACACAACAAGACAAGAACAACTGACATATATTATTTTAAAATTGATTTATTTACTACCATCACTAAAATTAACCAATAAATTTAATTGGCTCTTACGCTGATAAGCAAAATTCTTGCGTGATCTTGATCAAGTCGTAAACTTTCAACAATGAAATATTACCTTAAGTACCAGCTGAAACTGGCATAGAGCTGATAGATTAACGTCCTTCATTTCATTTAGCACTTGAAGAGCAGTGTTCACCTCATGGCTGCATGAACCACTGCAGTGACTGACCACTGAAGTTACAACCTCCTGAAAATAACGAAAATATTATTACTTTGTTCGTTGTTAAATGTTAAATAAAAAACCTTAATTCAGTGCATGATAATCAATTAAACTCTGAAGGAACAGTATTCGTCACCAGCATAACTATGCCCAGGCTACAAATTTCATAACTGCGCTATGAAAGAAGATGGCTAAAGAAGTGTCAGTTTGCGGATCGTTCAGATGTTCTAATCATCAGCATCATCTAAGAACAACAGTTGACGAATATCCAATTTGCTGATACCTGATCCAAATAAAATATAATCCGAATAATGTAAGGCGTTGTCAAAAACGGCTTTCCATCCACCATACAACATACCATCCTCCCCTCCCCCCTGGCTGACCGGTCTGAAACAGAGAAAAGTCTCTCGACTGCTTTGTAGGAATAGAACAGAATAGAACTAGCTAGTTTACGGAATCCCTACGACAAGCAGCAATAGGTGTTAGCAGTCTACTTCAGATGAAGCGAGTATGATGAATCGAGCAGACGTGGCATCAGACCTCTCTTCTCCATTGTCTTAAAGACATAACGCTTATACACCGATAACGCCGAGTTAAATGAAAGTACAGATAGCTCTGTTGCAATGAATTATTTGCACACTAGGTGCCGCTACGAGCCTTGTTGCCAATGCGCTGATCTATAGTTTGTTGCTGTTGCTTATTATTGCAACAGTTAAACGCTTCTCTGCAACAAAGCGAGTGAAATTTGTTAAACTGTATAATGGACTTTGCTAAACGTCTTCCCAACTGAAAGAATTTCAATTTTAACTACTGATGTCGGTCATAAAACAACTTCGCTAAGTAAATACATAACGGAAAACTTACCTCCTGACAATCCTCATCCAATGCTTGGAACATTTCAATGTATAGTTTAGAAGCAAACCGTACCAACGAGGGGTCAATGCTGCGAAACAGCAATTCTGCCCATTCGCAGGAGTATTTAAAGTACATTTTGGCTACCTTAAAATGAAAGGTGATTTTCAATAACGTTTCGTGCCTACTTGCCTCCTTGAAGCGGAATGCGTCAGTAATCAACGAATCGTTAATCTTACAGGCTCGAACAGCGTATCTTAATGTACCCAACACGTGTTTTCTGCGAAATGTCGAATACAGAATCATAAAAAGGAAAAAATCCAAAACCTGAAAACGTAAGTCAAAATAATCATTCTCCTTCAAACGTAATCAATTAACATCTTTTAAGCTTCTATTTATAAACATGACTCGCGAAATACACGTCAAAGCCTTATAATATTTATTACTTAAAGTACTTAAGTAAATCCATCTCAACGTTCATATTGGCATTAGACAATGGCCAATCATAAGAAAATAAAAAGGTAAGAAGTAGCACTACATAAGAGAATCACAGAATGTGTTTCGGCACCTAAGTCATAAAACATAAAAACAATTGACTTCACAAACAATAAAGAAAGAAACAAGAAATTTTGAAGAAAGGCTCAGGAAACACGGACTGCAACATTCCCACTCGAAAGAACAACAAAACTCTGCTGTCTGCTATCTGAACCAATCGTGCGACCCAGCGACAAGACGGATTGATAGACATACGGAAAACTTGTGTCTGAACATATAAAATGCTACAGATAATCAGAAGAACCTAAGAAGTTCATAAAACACTTTATCATGAAGAAGGCCTGTGAAAAAAGAGTCCGAACCTCGGTGCTGATGAATCACCGGATTGATCAAATTGCCTGCATTACGTATAAATAAATCGTGTATTGTGCTGTCTGAAAAAGTACATTATTTGTTATTTGTCGTTTCTGCACCATGTGACTTAAAATAGCTGACGTTACAAATGCACTGACAGATTAATGACACATTATTAAACATAACCGTAATGAGATGCGCACGTTTCGTAGCATTATTCGCTGATTCGCTGAATAGCAGAAAACCATGTTTTAAATGGCCATATTTCTTTCTAGTCACAAACACTCTTGGCAGAACCACAGATCTGGACAAAAAATTGACTCTGTTAAACAAACTCATGAGGATAAACCCTTCAATTTAATCCGCAGCATCCCATGGGAACCTGTCTACGAAACGTTATCCAGAAACAGGCATGAACAAAATAAATATGCATCTAACAGGAGAAAGCATTAATTCAACAATGACTGCCACAGCAAAAATATTGAAAACCTTAAAATCTAATTGACAATGTAGACCAGAAATTTTTATTAATTCCAAGCGATCAAGCTGATGATCACTACACAACTGACAGTAAAACGAGACGAGATGCACATGGTAAATGTCTTGGAGTATTTCAATGCATCGTCTAAATGAAGAAATTTCTTAACCGCAAACTATTTATCCTACTGGAAATCTTGTGCTTTTATCGCATAACTGCTCGAATAGATGGTACTAATGAATGAAACAAACGGTTCCGTTGTAACTTAAACAATGTTGAGAAGACGAATCTTGGGCGGCCTAAAGTGTAATTACGCGGTTAATCACAACGATAATGATTTAAAATAATGATTTAAATAATTAGATGATGCTTTGTGCTTCTACAGTCAAGCAGCGGTACTATACCTTGTTACAATTTTACAAGCTTTTCGTGAAACTTCTGTTAAACGATATAAGTACGCAATTGGACGGGCAACCGCTGATTCAGGAGGCTGGATTTCGCTTAAATTTTTTGACACTTAATGACCTCCAACAATGAATCAAACTGTCAAAAGCTGCAAAGAGCATAGACTGCCTGTCAACTTTGTCTTGGTAGACTATACACCCCATCTGATATGGTAGAACATGATGCAATTTCAGAATATCCTGATCAACGAATCGTGAAGAATCAATAGTCAAATTTGAAAACATGTATACTCAGGGTGCAGAGCGAAAATTCAGCAGTTTGATGATCCCTAGGAAATCAGATTTCACAAGGCTGCTCGCCGCATGGCATGAACCCAATATCTTTCAGAATCAATTAGAATGGAAATTTTCGGTCAACGACGAACGACCAATTCTTTCGTGACCTTTTGAGACCTTTACGTAGTCGGGGACAAAATAAAACGAAATTGAATCTACGTTAAGTGAGCAAGTTAGGTCTGGGATAAACAGAGCGATGGCGAAGACAATGAAAAACGAATCTGCGCAGTCAGCTGCAAAGGTCATTATTGAAATAAAGAAAATCAGCTGACTGTTTCATACCGAAAAGTGTGGCGTACGTGTATAGGGAACAATGACATTAATGAAAACAGAAAATTGCGAGTCTGATCATATGAAACCATAGTACTGCCAGCAACGGCGAGGAGGCTCTGGAGATCTAATGAACGACAGAAAAAAACGTGGAGGAGGTCGACTCGATTAGCGGACCCCTGCTAAAGGGAACATGCTAGGAAAGGGAAGAAAAAAAAGAGTACTGCCAGCAATTATATATAGCTGCGAGATTTGGGAAATAATGAAGACGACGAACTCTTCAAAGTGCAGAAGCGGGCTGTGGAAATAAGGATGCCAAGAGAATCGAACGGAGAAGTGGAATGAAAAAATAAGAAATAGGAATGATTGACATGGAAACTGCATTAGGTATGCCACACTGCACGACAGAGGACAAATTTTCACTGATCGACTGGTATTTCAGGGAATGCAAGCCATGCAAGCAATGAAATCAAAAGAACTTGCTCAGACGGGACGATGAGCTAGGAAACATTGAATGTTTTGGCGACAAATCACAAGAAACAGACTAGCAGACAGTGATGATTCATATTAATTACAATCATCAAAATTTATTAAAAAATACTATCAGCATGTAAATTAATGGGTTCACCAATTTGCCATCATCAGGAAAGCACTACGTCATACTGGCAAATTAACGATCTCCAACTTAAAAATAAATGGATTTTGCTATGATTCAGTAATTTGTGTTATTTAAGTACTAACAAATACATGGACGCTGAAACGCCGTGATAACATACAAAGAGTACAATGGCACTGAAGTAATTAATAGCTCAACGTGCGGTAAAATAAAAACTTCTTAAGATTTGGCTACAGCTGAATCCACACTCATTTACGGTTAAATCATTGGCCTTTCCATAGTTAATTATTATATTCAACATATGCCTTGTCATTAGTACATTAAATTTCTGCAACTTGCATAAATAGAATTCTTGTACCGCGAAAAACAAAATGCTTGCAACTTTTTACTTACATTCTGTTGACAGGATGCGGTCTGTAAATGTAGTACTCAGGTTTAACTGATATTTTGAAGGTGTACAAATTAACTTATAAGTCAACTTAATTACGTTAATTTGTGCCGTCACGAAAGTTAGCATAGAAGAAGGAAAGTACCTCAAATTCGATTGGTTGAACTCCATTCTTTACTCTGTCTAAGACTTTGCACACTGCGTCGCCGATGTACTGGCGGTACTTGATTGCAGAGTCGATCACTTTAAATATTTCAAGTACCGACATGTCTTGTTTTCTGAAATTGATAAAAGGTACATACTAGCCATAGTCAAAGCCAAACAGACTCTGATTCAGCGAACTTTCGGTCAGAAAACGAAGGTGGGTATAATTTCAATTCCTCTCTCAGGCGCTCGACAACCTGAAAATCAATTTATTTAAATTTATCACTATTAACAATGGTCAGTGGTCACTGCCTACCTCAACAGCTTCTGAAGGTGACCTGCACTGAAGAAGAAACTTCAATTTCATGGGTATTGCTTCCGGTGCTGAAGAATTCAATGACTTGAAGACGATTTCCTTTACCTGATCAAAACACAGGTCAGCTAAGATAACCCATCGAGTAATTACCTGGAGCGTGAGTTCTTCCGAAAACGTCATGTTATTTAACGACCTCAAAACGGGCGTGATGAGATGTTCATTTTCTTGCATGATATCCCTGAAATAGAGCATAACCCTTTGTGATTCATGTGAACTAAAGTGATAATTATCATTAGTTTCTAAAAGGCTAAAAGAAACCGGCAAGTCGCTGCTTTTACTGTGTAATGAAGCGATAAGCTCGAAATTCTAATGAGATGGTTCATTTTATATTGGCTGTTGTAGACTTGCAAAGTCCTATTTTATTGCCTTTGCGGAGTAAAAAAACAATGAAAGTAAGAAAGTACGGAAGGCTTTGGGTTCCATCTCAACTGCTATGAAGTTGAAAAGATGCTTTTACCAGAAACGACAGTTAAGGAGTTCAATGAATGATATGACTCTTTAAGTGACGAGTAATTCGTGGTATGAAAGGCCGCCTGAAGACAGCTAATGAATAAATGCCTCTGTTCGATCCAGCAATGGCGACAACGATTCAGAATATTTCAGTTACTAGTGCGGTGGATTCGCAATCGTAATATCGCCAGTAGAAATTTTGGACAAAGCACTCGTAGAGCACTCCCAAAGCATGTAAAAGAGCATTTTTGATAAGGACAGGAAGCAATACGCTTCATGATGACATATCTGCAAATGTAGCTTAAAAAAGGGAAGGCGCGGTAGGACAGTGCCAAATGGACGGCCAAACTTCAGAGATTCCGGTTCTGAATCAGGAGAAAGGACAATCTTTATCTTCAAAGTGAATTCCCTTCAGAAAAAAAATTACCCACATTGCTTCAGTACAACCAAGTAAACCAAGTGGTAGACTTTCGAATAACAGGGAGAACATGGTGTGATCTTGTCAAAATAGATTAGGTGTATGCTCATGATGTTCCATGCGAGCATCTTCTGTGGCTGCATTTCGCATAGACAGCTGACAATCCTATTTAATAATCAGCACAAGGTGTAAGAAGACATGTAAGCACAAGAATGACAAGACATGACCCCCATATGGACGGTGTTGTGTGTATGAGAAAAAAAATCTATAAAGGACGATATTCTACCCCACGTAAGTACTTGCATGCATTCTGATTATCTCACTCAAAGTCAAAAATACTGCCACATTGTAGACACGTACCGGAGCAGGAGGGCGACACCTTCATACCGATCGTCAGAGAGTAGTTCGGGGAGGAAGGCGAATATTTCCTGTTGTACCCAGCCGGGGGCTACCGGCACGATGCCCAGCAGGGAGGTGCTGAAAGCCTAAATATTCATGTTATTACGTAATGATAACCCACTACCTGAGCATTACGAATCCGTCGACGATATTCTCCAAAAATCGAAACTGATTTAATATCATTCTGCACAAAAGCTCGTCCTGCGATTGCATCGGCTGCTTACAGCTAAACATTACAATATTGGCATTAGACACAAGAGTAAACTAACAAGTCGCTTTTACGCCTTTTCTATGCAAAGCTTTTTCAACTCTTCTATCAGAATTCCCGCTATAGACATCTAAAAATAAACTATAATATTAAGACTTTATATAAAATTAGTTTCAGGCACTTGTGTTTCATTTTTTTCTAGCACTAATTCAGTAAGATTTTAGCGTGCTCCCAAAATTAAGACGCCTACAGGAATCATCGTATTACTTGTTAACAGCATGAAACTTATATCATAGTAATTTTGGGAAAACAGACAGCAGTCAAACACAAGGTTTCAGAATAAGTAGCTTAGGGACGCAAAAATAGGGTCTTTTCATAATGTAACAATTGAGATATACCTTTACCAAAATAAAATCAAAGCCTCTGCATAACGAAGATAAAGCCGGATATCTCATGCCTACAAGCCATCGCTGTTTCAGACTAATTAAAATTTAATGATATATTAATGTCTTTTCGATCCATGGCGTCAAGCACAAATAAATCTAACACAAAATCCATATTGGACAAGTAAAAACATATAAATAATACTGTTAGAGAAGTCACTTATCGAAACCGATGAAGAAGCTGCACGAAAAAAATAACTTAAGAAAAGGAAGAAAATTTCTCTCTGCTCAAAAGTGATATTGTCAGTGGTGGCAGCCGGAAAAATCATATTTATGTTCAAAAACATGCCTGTTTTGCTTCAATCATTAATATTATTGCTAATACTGTAAAAAGACAGTACGTAAAATTTTTATTGGATTCAATATATATAAATGATATACAAATAATACCATTTCAATTTTTCGATTTTGTTGCTCGAAATGTAGTTAATTTCATAGTGCCTCATGTTGAGATCAGAAAAGAAAACTGATGATAGGGAGCCTAATCCTGATGCTGCTGACTATGTGGTTAAGAAATGCGTCGCTAATAAAAGTTTTTACAATCCATCGAATTTGTCTTGTTTTATGTTGTGGATCAAGAAAATGAGTATAACGGATGCGTAAGTATCGTATTAGTACTCTCTATGCTATATTCTCATGAAGAACAGGCAACAACAAAAGTTGGGAATCAGCTAAACATGTGGAATGATGTAGCATACACTCCTGAGCCACAGTGGCAGACTTGAAA